CCGTGCACAGGACGGCCCCGCAACAAAGCATTCCCCAGCCCGATGAGAAATGCCCTGCATGCCCACCGACTGCCCAGCCGGCATGCATCACACTATTAGGAACAAAGGTAATGCACCAAGTAGGGCAGGGTTTTTAAAAAGCAGCCCACAGACTTTAAACCCCCCACGCCTCTGACTTGAGACATGCCGGAAAGTTCTGCCTCTCCTAAGCAAGCTTTCCTCGCTGAGGTTTCTACAGCAAATGAGAAGGAATCACGGAAACGTAGTAGGTCAACAGCATCCTCACACTCCCTGGCACATCCCGGGGTCGCAGAAAGCAAGGCAGAAAAAAAGTGTCCCCCCCCCCAACAAGGAGCGACGCCCCCTCCCCCTGCGGGCTCCGGGCCGCAGAGGATGAGACGCGCGCTCCCCTGACAAAGGCGCAGCGCTGGGTCCCTCTGGTCCCTGGACAGTCGTGCCTGTCCCAAAGCCACCCCGCCAACAAGCCCAGCCCGGGGAGAAAGCATCATCAGCTCAGCCCAGCGTGGAACAACTTAGGGCACTTACTTGTCCAAAATGAAGTACAGGTCAAATCCCCCGTAGCAGGCTGGACCCCCTTCCTCCCTGCGTGCCCCATGCCCGGCGCAGATGAGCACAAAAGTGGCCAAAGAGAGCCACTTGAAGCCAGTGCCGAGGGCTCTCGGCTCCACGGTGGCCATGGCCCGCAGCCCAGGGACAGGGTAGGGTCCTCTCCTTCCCACGCTCCTCGAACTCGCCAGGACCCTCAGGGGCGCGCCATCCGAGGGGCCCCTCCTCTCGGGCCCTTTATTCCTCCACTCTGTCCCGAAACTCCCCGGAAGCAATTGTCTGGAGGAGTTCAAGGTTTTCCGTCTGGTTTCCGCCGCGATTCGGCGTCTAGGTTTCAGGTTTCAGGAATCCCAATACTGTACTCCGCTTTTTAAAGGGGCTGCTCCTGGCTCCGGCGCGCCGGCCGCTCCCGGGCCGCGCTGAGGTTTTGCAATGGAAGCAGTTCCGTCCAGACGGTTCTTTGTCCCAGATTTTAAATATTATGGGGTGGGTTTGCAAATTGTTCTTGGTTGGGGGAGTGCTCTCTGCCTTTCCTCCCTCCTCTCTGCCCCGTTTCTTTTTTGGATGGGGGAAGAAAGTCCAAAGGGTGCCACCTTGTGGCCCGAGACGACGAGAGCGCTCTCCGGCTTTGGTGGGAGCCGGGCGGGGCGGGCTCTCTTCTTTTTCTCACGCACCTTCCCCCGCGCCTCCCCTGTCTTCACTCGTATTTTCTAGCCTTTTCATCTCCGTCCTGTCCCCTCCTCTCCTACGTCTTCTGATAAGGTCACTGTAAAAGTTTGATGAGAACTTCTTTCCTCCAACCACGGTGGCTCCCACCCCAGACTGGGACCTTTCCAAACAAGCCATTGTGCAAATTAAGCAGAGAAGAACCAGGCCTTTGTGATCTGAATCATCCATTATTGTACTCTTAGCGCAGATCATACAAGGGACCGTCGGGGTCCATTCATGTGGCTGAGAACAGCATGACCAGTCCCACAGAGAAGCCTGCTCCCTGCCCGCGTGGAAAGACTGAGCTTTCTATGTTATCTCCATCTCCAGAGCTCAGGGATTCTGTGGGAGTTCTTTTCAGTCTATGAACTTTGACTTTTTTCACCCTATCTTTGATGTGGGGCAGAAGAAATAAACAGCTTACAAGAGTATGGGCTTTTCAAACAGTTTGTGACTGGCCTTTCTAAAGTGAGGGATCCTCTTTAGAGTGGCCCCCTGAGCCACAGTTCCAGGGTGATCTCTGTTTCAGCTTCCGATGTCTTTCAGTCTGGGGGTCCTCAGTGCATATACATGCTCCATTTTCCAAGATTTTTTCTCCAGACACACATCTTCCCTTCCACTTGTGACCCTGTAAGACCCTCACTCCCCAATATGACCATCCATGGTGGTTTTTCCCCACTTTTGTGTATCGTGGAATCCTACCATCTTGGAATAATCTATTAAACAATAATTTTGTTGTCAAATTAGTTTTGGAACTTTGTAATGCATTGCACTAGGCTTCCTCCTAAATGTTTCTTATTGCCTGGTATTCACATACACCCCACCCTCAAACTGAGTAAGACTGATCTGGTACCATAAATAAGTATTACAATATTATTGACTATATTCCCTAAGTTGAACTTTACATTCCTGTAAAGACACTCTTATTAAAGAGAGGTCAGAGCACAGCTCCCAGAAGGGGAAGGAAATTCAATATGAAACAAACTTATGGGGAAGGGGAGAGAGGGGAAGAGGCTTCCCTGGGACAAAGATGGTGTTTTAATGGACAGAGGGGTAGAGGGACTCAGACACTTGAATGTCCCAGCTGCCTCCACCTTCCTCCAATATTCTAGAAAGAGGTCTATTAATACAAACTAATCATTCTGCAGATATTAAATTGGCTCTACCTTCCTCTCCCTTTAGCTCAGAGAAATCCATTCCAGGCACTTCTTCTAATTAGAGGGTTTTTTGCCAGCCTCACTTATTACTGAGAGGTATCCTCCAAACATGCCCGTGAAGTGAATTTGACATTGAGCTATGGAGATATGGTTGTTCTGATGAAAGGTTGAAGTAGAACAAAGGTATCTAGAATTTATAACAGGTAAGTGAAGCCCCTGGTGTGATCTTAATGTGGTGGCTCAGCAGGTCTGCAAGAGGAGATATCAGGTTCTTTGAATTGGAAACATTTTTTTTGGTTGTTGGGATATAGCAGCCTTATAATTAATTAGTCCATGTAGGGAAAAGGGAGAGGTGAATCAGTCACTTGAGGTTGGAGGACTGGGGAAGGACCTTCAATGGATTCCTCCTTGCATTTCCCAGATTAATTTTACTCAGAGATATCCAAGTATCAAAATCCCCTTATGCAAATGTTACCATCTTCTCAAGGGACCCCTCAATGCTCTGATTGGACTGAGGGTGCCTGGGCTTCTAATCCCTTCCAAGGACTCCAGGGTTCTGGAGGAGATTAATTGGCTCTCCCAAGGTCCATAGAGATAGATATATAAGTTTTGGAAGAAACTCCTCTGCCTCTCAAACTCAAGTGGGTGGAAGAACAATATGAGTGGTGGTGTTGGGGCTATGGATCGATATTTCTGAGGTTGGAGAAGCACAAAGGCAAATTGAATATGCATGTGGAAGTGTTTGAATGGTAACCTGGAAGTCAAGGCAGGGAAGAGCTTCTTGCAGGAAGAAGCAGTTAACAGTGCCACATGCTGTAGATGGGAAGAAGATAAGCCCTGAGAACATGCCGTTGATATGACACAGTGTTGTTTTGTTACTAAGGAGCATTACAGTGGAGTGGTACAAGGGGGTGTTAAACTGCATTGGGTTACTGGGAAGGGGAACTTCTCTTTCCATAAGAGAAAGGGATAAGAGGGTAACTTGTGGGTGTTTTATATGCCACAAGGAAGGATTCCAATATATCTAAATGTGCCAGGAATTTCACGTTCCCTGCCTTCCAAAAGACTGAAGAGTTTGTCTTGACTGATCATTTTAAAACTTTAGTCCTACACTCTAACTGCTGTTCTACCTGAATTTGCCAGGCTTCTTTTTTTAAGATAGAAATTGTTAAATATGACCTGCCTGTCTACCAGCCACCAGTGACTCAGTCTCCCTTACTGGCTCCCACTCTCCAACACATGTGACTGAGCCCCTTTTGTAAAGCTGCCTAAATCAAAGTTTGCTGTCCTGATAACATTCTCATTTAGTCTTCCAAGAATCTCATTGGGCACTAAAGCACCATTTGTCTGGATTCTTGGCAAAGGTTTGAGAAAATGTTCCAGGTAATACAGACTATCCAAGAAAACTAAGGAAATTTTTTACATAGAAATATTTGTCCACAATAAAAACAGGTCTGAGATTCTCCACCTAATTTTGTGCCAATCAAATAGGTCCAGTGTTTGCTAGGTTCTTGGAGGTCCCACTGATCCTTGGGCCATATTGGTATCCCATAGCTTCATAAGGCAAACCATCATTTAGTGAAAATAGTCTCTTTTCATTGTTATGAGATTTCCTTCATGCTTGTCCTTCATAGAACCACCATTTGCAAGAAGTCAAGAGAGCATTCCCAGAAAAATTTATAATCTGGAACAACGGAGTTTCTAAAGAATCTAAATCAGGTCAATAACGGCTTTTGGCCATGGGAAATCAGAGGTACTGGTAATAATTTTAAGCCTAGAGGCAGAACCATAGTCTAGAGCAAGATACCTTGATGGCATCTGATAGCCCAGATCATTCACAACTTTAGCCCAGAAACAACCAAAGCCTGGTTGAACCCAACATGCCATTAATAACCTCATCTAGAGCTCAACCCAGTCTAGCTGTAAAATAAATTTAGTCCAATACATTCTTTGATTTAATTTAGGGTATTCTAAAACTCCACCCCCAAACCCTGTTAACAGCTACCCAAATGCAGAGATAAGACTCACTTAACACAGCCCCAACACAACTCTGATCAATACAGAACCCTGAAAAAAAAATGAGCCAATTTCATATATAAGTCAACGTCAGCCCCAAAACAGATTCTACTTAATCTGGTTCACACCTCAGCTCAGCTCAATCCACAGACCACCTCAGTCCATCCTAAACCAAACCCAACCCAACATGAAGTTTAATCACCAACTTCCTTTTAGTCCAATCCAGGTAGAGTCTAGCCAAAACTCAAAACCTAGCACAGCAAACCTTATAAAGAACGTATTCCTACAAAGATTCAGATGAGAATAATATATAATTCATATCAGCATATCCTAAAAACCCATCCCAGATCCTCGCAAGAAAAAACCTTCAGAACAAAATGTTCATTTTACTTAAAACAGAGACCAGGCCAATCCTACCCAGAACCCAGACAAGGGATGAAATAGACCAGTATAGTCAGAGAACTGACAAACCCAGAGTTTACAAACACCCAGTGGAAGACTATATCAGACAACTCAAGACTAGCACAAAGCTAAATACAAGATCAATTCAGTCCCTTTCTGCCCAGTTCTGCTCAACCCTGGTATATTTAAGCCAGAGACCTCAGACAAGTTTACAACTTAAGATACAGAAGAAAATCTATCTAAGACCCATCAAACCCATAACTCCTTCAACACTGGTTACTGTGTCTAAGTCCCAAGCCAGAAAGACCAGTGGTTCTCAAAGTGTATGATGAGAATGTGTGGGCTGGGGACTGAGAAGGTGATTGCAAAGAGATTTGCCCCCTCTCAAATACCCAGTGGAGCTTTTTCAAGATACACATATTTGTAGCGTACCAGGAATGGATGTGGGGTTTTCAGGGATATGTGTAGTTTAACACAGCCTTACAGTTGCCCAATTTCCTTCTTTCATGCCTCATACCTACTCTTCTTCTATGACCTATTTAAGTGGGCAAAATGAATGGTAACTTCCATAAACTCTTTGATCACTAGGCAGGACAGCAGACTAATTAATAGAGTGATCACACATCAGGCCATTTGGGGCAAAGCACAGCTCCGCCATTACTAACTGGGTGACTGTGAAAATGACATGACCTGTCCACAACACAGCTTCCTATCTACAAAATGGGGATAATAATATTACCTACCTCATCGTGTTGTTTTGTGGTTTAAGTGAGATAATGTATGTCATATGTGGCCCTCAGGGAACACACAATGGATGTTGGCTTTAATTATTATTGGAGGATTCTGGGAAATTGCATGTGAATTTCTCCTAGAGATGAGAAGAATAAATTTAGAAGAACCACTTTCAGATTGTTTGATTTTTGTAACACCAATGAAACAAGGCTGTCTCTACACCATTGGCATTCACATTGTTATCTTTGAGAAATGCAAAGATGAAGATTCTAGTTCATCCTGAAACTACTGGGAGTTGATGGTTTCCTAGGATGCATGCATAAAACAAATAGAAAACATGCTTTGGGACTATCAATAATCTATTGGCAGCAGTATTTCTTCTGTGAGCCAAGAATGCTAGATAGCTAAATGCTAACAAAATGTCTGAGAAAATGATTATATTCTTTCTGATACTGTTTTTTTTTTTAATC